CCCTTCTTTTCTGACCCACAACCCTTCTTTTCTGACCCACAACCCTTTTTTTCTGACCCACAACCCTTCTCCTTTCTTTCTGACCCAGAACCGCGATCCGCCCGCTTTCTTTTTGATCCCTAGCCGCATAGCCCTTTTCTATAGCGACCCTTCTTCTTTCAATTGGATCCGCAAGCCTTCAGTTTTGATCCATATATCTCGTGAAGTAAGGGCAGAAATAATTACATTAGACAACACAGTCAAAAACAACATTGCTCAACACTTATTACAGGCTCAATGATTAAAATTAGCTATTTCCGATGTATCACACGATCACTCAAACCTTCAATGCTAGAGGTGGTGAAATTAAGCTGAGTATTGTAAAATAATCTTCTAAATTGACTGGTGCCTTCATCAGCTTGTTTAGAGCACCTAGAAGTGGCAAAAACCTAAAGCGTTTCTTGCCAGATATGTATACAAGCGATGGAACAACTTCTACAATCCAATGGTATATGGAAGAAATAATGACACAGGAGCCGCCAACACAGAAGACTAATATGGTAGAGGTTTCCAAGATGCAACACGTAATTTAAGTTGGCAAATTCAATTGAGCAACTCACAGAAATATCCAGAATTTGAAAGTCAAAGTTTATCAGAAGCGTTTTGTTATTTAAGAAGAGCTATACATTACATGAGCCCAGACCAAAATAGTTTTTAAGTTGTTCTTATCAACAATACAGAAGTAATAAAATCGTTATAGGTATGTCATTTGAGAAACTGGCGGACGTCAATGTGACCGGATACAACGCAAAAATGTCGGGAATTACAAATTTCACAATTAAGGGAACAGAAGGAGCACTTGACCCTAATGAGCAATTTATGAGGTTTTCGGCCACATGCTTTCATAGACTGTTCTGGAATTGAGAGAAAGCGGAAGTGTACATCATGAAAAAATCTATATAATACTATATCCAATGATGAAATACGAAAAAAATGCAAAGACTGGCAACCGTGTTCATCTTCAAAAGCAGTTAATGAACTTCAGCCCCTTTGATTTGAGGGATACTTCATACCTAGACCATTTACATACAGAATCGAAATTAAGGCAGTCAAGGGAAGCAATGCTTTTATTAAGAAAAGACATGATAGAAGCGAACAAGAGGTCTAATCATGGACAGAAAAACTAATGAGTTATCTCCTCCAAACTTACCTTACATGCCAAAGCAACATTTAGAAGACAGAGTTAAACCACTTAAACATCTGGCGACATCCTTCTCTAAACTTCCCCCTTGGGTGGCTCACCCAAGGGTAGGCCAACTTGGAAGGGCCACTTCCCTGCATTGGCCACAAAAGGGTGAGTCAACTTGGCATGGCCACTTCCTTCTCCAAATTTTGACCCTGGGTGGCCCACACAAGGGTGAGTCAACTCAGCATAGCCACTTCCTTCTCTAAATTTTTCCCCTGCATTGCCAACACAAAGGGGTGAGTCAAGTTGAAATGGCAACATCCTTCTCTAAATTTTACCCCTGCATTGCCGACAAAAGGGTTAGTCAACTTGGAATGGCAACATCCTTTTCTAAACTTTCCCCCTGGGTGGCTCACCAAAGGGTGGGCCAACTTGGAAGGGCCACTTCCCTGCATTGGCCACATAAATAAAGATGTGAGTCAAGTTGGAATGGCAACATACTTCT